TTGTAATGTTCCAGTTGGCGTATGTGCTGTGTGGAATTAGGTATTATGATCTGTATCTTAAAATTCTTTTCTTTAGCGGAATAAATTTTTTTCTGTGAAAACTGACCTAAAGTGAAGAGAACACTGAGGGAGCTGGTCATCCATCTGCTCAGCCACTAGAGTTCTTAGTAGCGTGTTTGCCTTTATGGAACTGAGGTTTCAAATTGGACTTGTTACTCTCACATTTAAGGTTATTGCTCAGCACTGAAAATATGCTGAGGAAGCACAGTGCCTTAACACACAGTGTTGGATCTGAGTCTGCCTTCTGCTGTGACAGGTATGACATTGGGTGTCATTGCTCTTGGGGGTATTTGACAAAGGAGGAACTGAGTTGCAACTCAAGTAACGTGTGTCGGACTAATAGGTGCATCTGTTGAGGTATTAGAAGAAAGACGCTGAACCTGGTGTTGGATGATGGCCGAGTGACTTCCTCAGAGCAGGCCCCTGTTATTATTGCTGTGAGGTGGCTGTTGGCCCTTTTGAGTGGCACTGCTTAACTGCCCAGACCATGGTCCCCTGCGGTGGTCTTGTGCTTAAAATACAGGGTGCTGTTAAACTCCCCTCAAAAAAACAACCACAAACCAAACCCAAAACCAAAGCAGCCTTGCAGCACAGTTTGATTTGGAAGAACTGCATGCTGTGCCGTGGGCTCAGCCGGTTCAGACTGCAGCAGATTAGGGAAAGGAGATCATAAAGTTAAGGAATTCTGGTGGATTGCACAGGTTTGCTGGCCCTTACTGCAGACAGAGGGTGATCTGAGTGCTAACCTGGCACAGCATGACAGTGAGATGGTGGTGTCAGTGCTGAAATCGATTGGGACTTTGGATTGGTCTTTGATATTTTTTGCATTGCAGTTGATGCTAATTTTACTTTTCCAGGGGTATCTGGCAGCCTCTGTGGGGCTGTACTCCAGATGCCCTGGCATGGCCCAGCTGGGCTGTAAGCTCCCATTGGGATTTTAGCTGTGTTCAAGGTGTGGCTGCTCACACAGTGCAGTGCAGAGGTGGGATCTCAGAGCCATGCTTATGGATCACAGGAACAAGCAGTCTGTAAGGCATTGTTTGCTTGTCTACAGGAGAAAACAGTTTAAAATGAGAGAATGGATTCAGGAGAAACTTGTCCAAGATGGTGAAAGCTGTTCTTCACTTCTGTTTTCCCTCAGCTCCCATGGTGTGGGAAGTGGCACAGTGTCCCTCGTGGCTGTGCTTAGTGTGCCCACTGTGTGGGGAGCATCTTTGTGATTTGCAAGAACATTTTACCCAATTTTGTCTTCAGTTTAAGTGGTATATTAACATCTGATCAGTGCCTTGGACATGAGCTGCAGACTTGTGGATGTAAGAACAGGCCATGCTGCTGCAGATTTCTGTAAAATGATAACTTGATGTCTGTCTGCGTTAGTTATGGACAGATTGTTCTATGAGTGAATTGTTCAGATGATGAAATTTGCTTGTCAATAAAACAAAATGTTTTACTGGCTTATAGTTTTTAGTAAAACAGGTGGTGGGGCCCACATCTCCCTCACAAAGCTTAAAAATTTGTCTTGATGTGGATTGCATCCAGCTTCAGGTGACACTTCCTAGAGTTCCTGTCAGAACTCTGTTCAGCCTGGTTTTGGTGGTTTTGTTATAACAAATAGATTTGCTGAAGTATCCAGGCAGAGTCACTGTTGGTCTGTCTTCAAACAGGATGGAATTGGTTTTGAACACACAAAGCCAAAGACTTTGTGCCAAAGTTTATTCTGTGGATCCCTAAATGTGAGTGCATACAGCACCGTTCTGTGCGCGGTCCTGGCCTCAGGTACCAGTGCCCTGCCACAGATGGCTAGCCACATTTTTTCGTTCTACAGGACAAGGGAAATAATAATGAGAATGATTACATGTATTTTAGGGGAAAAGGCTTCTCTAATGTGAGAGCCGCTTGTTGAGCAGAATGCATGCCAGGGAACATTCTGACTACTCAACATGTAGCAGTCTTCAGTCCTTCTTCAGAAATAAATGGCTGCTGCCTTCCTCTGCAGATTGATGGGTGAAGGTTTGGAGTTTGTTTGGTTTCTTTTCATTTAGTTGAAGAAGGGACAAACACAGTATATAAAGTCTGATGTACGAAGGCGATTGCAGGCTGAATGAATTTGCATGCTGTTAGTCCAGCATTTGAGAAATTATTGTAGCAGTTGATTCTCCTGCACTTCAGCCCAGTTGTCCTAACGTGGGCTGTATCTCACCCCTTTAGCCCTCAGCAGTTTCACCTCTTTGCAAAGGCTTACTTCAAAAGAGGTTAAATAAATTTCAGCACTACCCTGCAGTTGCTCTTTGGAGGAAAATGTCCTTTCTGCTTTTGTTCATTTGCTTATCTCTGCTTGCAAATAGCAAATAATTCATGTCTGTGCCAGATCCTCCATCGGTTTTTTTCTCTTGCAAGAAATCCCACTTGTAGGCTGAAGTTACTGTTTGGAACTTGTGTCACACCAATTGAAGTTGCGAGTATTGCCCTGGCACGTGCACGTGTTCCTTCAATTTTGGAATCCAGTTCCTTACCTCTGAGTCTTGTCTGGGGGAGAAAGAGATTCCGGGTTGTGTTTAGTCCTCCAGCACGTGGGTCTACTGTGAAATCTATCCTGTGGCTACTGGTTCTCCTTGGTTCAAGAAGGTGCTGCAAATCCAGTGTGCCTTCCTGGCAGCACAGGAATTGGAAGTACTGAATAGTGTGGAAATTAAATCTTGTCCACGAGTCTTTCTGTCAGCTTGAGGTAGGCAGGATTACGTGTGGACGGGCAGGACTGCTTGCTCGTGTTACCCTGTCTGTATCTCATGCTTTTAGCCATGTACGTGCTGGAGGGTGTACAGTTGCACTGTTAAGAAACCAGCAGATAAATGTATTTGATTTCTGGTGATTACCATCTTGCTTCCAGGATTTTGTTTCTGGCTAGTATGTACATGAGTGCCTCAGGCTGTAAGTTTCTATTAAGTCACTTTCCCAGTGGCTGCTCAGGCTGATCTAAGAATGTAGCTCATTTCATTCAACTGAGGAGAGCACTCAGATTCTTCTTTCTTAGCTGTTACTCATTTTCCCTTGAATATCTACTGATGAAAACTGGACAACAGCTTTTATAGACTGTATGTGTTGCTGGGGCTTCCCTTGGTGCCTGGTAAGTCATGGGGACACCATTTTTTGTGAGTTTGGCCTGTTTAAATGGTTGATGCTGATGCCCTGAGTTTTGGCTTAAATTTCACTGGTGCCTTTCCCTCCAAACCCCTTGGGACTGCCAAGACTCGGGTCCTTGACTTTAGGGAGGTGCTTTACTAATTGGGACATGTGGAGATTGTAATCTTTTGGCAGCCTGGTTTCACTGCAGCCGTGCTGCTAGCAAGGAGTACCTGCATTTTTGTTTTACTGCCTCTTAATGACCTAGGAGACCTGAGCAGTTCATTAAACCTCTGCTACTCCTATTGAGATCTCTGAAGAGATAATGGAAGGAATAATACTGAGACAGGTGAAGAATTGTACTTGAGACACCCTGTAAAATACTGTGATTGTGTGATCTGAATCTTAGTGCTGGCACTTGAAATATGGACAGTGCTCCTCCCTGTGGGCAGGTAAACCAGCTTCTGTTTCAGGTAGTTAGGGAGGAATTAGCTCTGTGTGATCATTGCTCACTTGCCTTTTTCAGATTGTCTGAAAGGTTTTGGTGTCCCTTCCAGAAACAGGAAGGAAAAGACCTGGTGTGATACAGTTCTCATGCAGTATAATGACTCGTCACAGATTATTATGTTTTGTGCCCAGAGGCATTTTCAGTGTTCCGTTTGGGCTGCCCGCGGTTTGTTAAGATACACACTTCTCTTACTGCTATATTCACAAGAATGTGTGGTGGCCATCACCTGCTTTTTCATAGGTTCTTAAAAAAGTTGTGAAGCTCCATCCTTGTGTATTCTCTCAATATGTATTGTATGAGTCTTTGTCAGGAACATCCTCAGAATGCTCAGATTTTGTTTTCTTTCCTTGGTTCCTGCTTTGAACGTGCACAGGGCTCAAGCCTTTGATGTCCTATAGGATTATTTACATTTGGGTTTGGGTCTCATTAGCACAATTACTTCCTCTGGGACTTCCCATGGGGCACAACTAATACTGTGTTCCATAGTCTTGGAAGGTTATATTAAAATTTTGGATAACCCTAAAATAAGGTTTCTTATCTCCAAGCTTAAGACTTGTATGTCAGGCTTTGCCTGTCGCCTTCCAAGTTTTAGAGACTTGTTTCAGGTGTGATTCCTGACTAACTGTATTTGGGAACAGTTCTTGGTGTTGTCTTGTGGCTTGGATTGCTGGGTTGAGAATATTTTGACTGTCTATTAAGTGTAAACTATTTGAGATAAGTACTTGGGTTATTTTGTTTAGAGTTCCTTTACGATGCAGGATTTGACATGTCTGTGGCACTGTTCCTGTGTTACAGGCCCTTCTTGAGCTGAGATTAATCTCCCAATTTCATTTCATGTGCTTTATATCCTGTCCAGCCATAATTGTGAACAGTCCTTTGTACTGGCCTTTGGCTTGGATTGATGGGTGAGGGTTATTTTGGTAAGAAAACAAAAATCTTGTTCTAGGATTATGTCCCAAGTTGGAAATTTGAGTTTTTGACTTCTTTGCCTGCTGCCTTGCCTACATGTCAGTTTTTGGAGAGAGAAAGTAGCTTAGGCTTCTGTCTGAGAACTGCAGGGAATTCCCTGATTGCAGACACTGGTAGTCATCAAGAAGCAGCATTAAGCCATCAAAAAGACGTTCAGAGTATTGAAGATCATTTTATGACACAGATGATTTGCAAGACATCATGATGGGTAGGGACATAGCAAGCTGAACCAGGTGACCCCTGGAAGTCCTTTCCAACCTAGATTATTCTATGACATGGGTGAGTTGTGATGTATAGGAGTGTCTTCAAACTAACACGAGTATTTTTCGTTGCAGGATTTGACCCTGTGTACCAAAGAAATGGTGATGGAGAAGCCAAGTCCCCTGCTTGTAGGGCGGGAGTTCGTGAGACAGTACTACACCCTGCTAAACAAAGCTCCTGACTTCTTGCACAGGTAACACTCTCACACCAAGGAGCTATGAACAGAAGTGTGTACCGCTCAGTACAGATCATATAAGTATTGGTGTCAGAGCATGGAAGGAAATGGACCTGGCTAACTTTGGGGCTCTTGGAAAATCTGTTTCATCTTACTGAAAATTCCTTAGGCTCTAGAACAAGGTCTGATCATAGAGATAGATGGCATGTTATCGAGGTATTTCCTTTGTGGGAAAGTGAGCTGCTTCTCAGCTGATAAAATGGGAATGTGGACAGGTTCCAGAAATACTTGCTGAGGTTGCTGGAGCTGGATAGACACTCATGAGCCAGCTCCCCCGGTGCAGGTGAAACTGTGCTCAGGAATATTCCCTGTCTCCTTCAAAGGTGGCACAAGTGTCACTAATGACAGCATCTGTGGAATTTCTCTTAGATACCTCTCACAGAAGAGTCCAAGAGGTTTGGATCTGGTTTGGTTGGATCCTAGCCAGTTCTTGAGGTGCTTGTGTGCCATGTCTCCTAGCCACTTGCATTCTCTGCCACCAGTGCCCCTTTTTTCTAGCCAGTCCCAGATACGGAGGACATTTGCCTTTCTGTTCGTTGGCCCCACCTTGTTTAGCAGTGATGTTCTTCTTTGAAAGTATCTTATCTTCCCTCTTGCTGTTAGTGTGAGCAATAACCTGATCTCTGACACAGAAAGATTTTGGTTTTCATGGTTTGATGTGCTCCTTCTTGCAGCGGTGAGGGAGTTTGGACAGCAAATGTTACTGTTTTCTTCTACTAATACCTTGAGAAGAACACAGAGTGTCTTGTCGCCGGTCATTATCCAAATCTTATCTAGGGGTTATGGGTAAGCGGAGATCAGTTTGCCCTCTAAATGGGTGTTACTCAGTGTAGATTGCATGCCTGTTGCACTTCAGTTGAATTTATAAGGCCTTTCTGGCCCTTTAACTGAAAATCTGTAACTCAGTTTAACTGGGGACTTAATGTTTATTCCTTTCTTTATCTGCGGTTCCCACGTGTTATGTTTTCTGTCTGCCAGAGAGTTTGAACAGTTCCTTAAAAGCAAGTTAAAACTCTCGGTCCCCCACGAAGGCACTTAGTAAGACCTGCTGACTGTCAGAGAACTTACTTTGGAATTTAGAGAGTGGAAAGATGCATTGCTTCAGCTTGAGCTTCTGTATTTCCTTGCTGTTAGGAAGTGCTGGACCATGCTGGAAATCATAGTTATGCCAAAGAAAACAATGTAATATTTCCCAGTCAATTTTGTGGACATAGTCAAGGGAGTTAAAATCTTTGGCTAGTATTTTTGCAAAAGTAGGACTGGAAAGAGTTTCTGAGTTTCGTAGGATAAACCAAGAAATGGCAAATGTGGCAGCTGTAGTGTTCAATTCTTTATCTTAACGCTGCCCCTCTGCACTGGCTTGTTTAAGTAGAGAGAAATGTTCTGTGTCCTTCCCAATCTGTGTGACACTGAGTTTTATAACAGGATTTAAGGAATATTTGATTTCACATATACTGTACAAGGGTGGATAACAAGGGTACCTTGTAGAAGTAGCGTAAGTGTTAGCATTCAGACCTTGTGGCAACCACTCCCAAAGCAAAGCATGCCTGTAAAACAGGTGTGATGGAATGGTTTGGTCTAATCTGCTAATATAAGTGTACCGAAAATATAAAACATTTGGCACATGCTCGATAAGCTGGCGGTAAAAATCCAAATCAAAACTTAGACTATTCTGGGCTCAAAATTTGGAAATGGAATGAAAATGCCAAAGAATCTCTGAAATGTAAGAAAAATACTGTAAGCACATTGGAATATTGAAAGTACTTAATTACATGTCAAAAGTAGGAGCTCTTGAAATCCAGTCCAGAAGTCAGGAGAGACTCTGGGGCTTTGTTTTTCTTGGAGTGGTCCAGGGGTTTGTACTATTTGCAAGACTACACCCACAGCTGCTTCTTGTTGGGTAGCACAGTATGGTCTATCAGTTTTGTGTCAAAAGTAATACAGTGGAGGCTCCTGTAAGTGGTGATTGAGTTATTGCACACAATAATGGGGTTACTGCAAGTTCTGTGCCTAACTGTAAGAGGCATAGAAAGAACACTGCTTTGAATTGATCCTTTGCTGTGGCAGCAGTAAGATGAGGTTCTGTTTAGGCTTCTTTCATTTGCTGGGTTTTTTTTACACTTGATTTCAGACAGCCACGTAGAGCAGAGAGACAGGATGGGTGGGGGGTGGGTTGGCTGTTGGATGGTCAGAGAAGTTTTTATGTACAGTGTGAAGCCAAGGGAGGATCCCTCACTGGTGCCCAGGGCTCTGAAGGGGACAGGGTTCAGAGGAAGGGCGGGTGAGTTTTTCCTCCCTGGGCTAATGCCTTGACTGCTGGCACAGCAGTATCAGAGGCAGATGATCATGGTGGGAACCCTCCAAGCCAAAATGTCCTCCTTGCTTAGAGGAAGCAAGTGAAAGGTTGATTTAGGAGTTTGCTACATTGCCTTGGGCAAACTGGAATACCGAATATTGTTTGCCCCTGTATTCTTGGAGCCTCTTGAATCGCTGTTTGTGCTGAAATTCCTCATGCATTGAGCTCCACAGCTTTCTGATGAAATACTTACTGCATTTGGTTCTATGTTTTTTCACTTCTATGACCTTTTCATCTCTTTACTTGCAGATTTTATGGCAGGAATTCTTCTTATGTCCATGGAGGTCTGGATGCCAGTGGGAAACCACAGGAAGCAGTGTATGGTCAAGCTGTGAGTATCAAAATGAGTCCTGTAATCCTCATTTATGTTCAGAATGAATCAGTCCTTTTCTTCACCTCTTTCTTATCTGGTAAATAACATATTGTGGTACTGCTTCCTGTTCAGAGACAGATAGGAATTTGTTAGCCTGAGGTTTTTTGTATGCTTATTTCTGCTTTTACTGAGGGTTATTTTTGATTCACCAGCCTTGCATCTGGGCTGCGGAAAGGACGTTTATGACGGGAAACAAAATCAGGAGGACCTGGTAGACTTGTGCTGTTGATGTATCTTATTTCAGTTGGAAGTGATTCCTTGGGAAGGGGACCTTGGTCTTTGTGAGTTACATGAAATTCTGTTATGTTATGAAATTCATCTGCAAGTGGAGTTTTGTTCAAGTGGAAGATAACTTTTTGAAGAAGTTAAGTGAGTCAGGGAAACACAAGTTTTGCCTTTGGTTGTAGCTCCGTATCAGAATAATGTCTGTCACCTAGAGACATCAGTTCATGTGGCAGCCACATCTTTGAGCACTGTGGCTTTAGTCCAGGGCAGGTTTGGGTTTTTTCTCCTTTCACCAACAGTACCTGATTTGGCAGCACAAAAATCTTGGCAGTGCATATGTTCCTCCCTCCTGTGACGTTTGGGTACTTTGTGGATGCACAGAGGGTTGGGTGTTTTGGGTTTTTTTTGGGGGGGGGATGGTGGGTTTTGTCAGTGCAAGGTAAATCCTGTCCCTTTCCCAGACCCTTTGAAAAATTAAAGCCTTATAATACATCACAGGTTTTAATATAGGCGGAAAAATTGGATAGCAAGTTGTACACTATTTGATTACTTTGAGAAGTACTTGAAGCCTATTGGAAAGCTTAGTTAGCTGGGCTCAGGTAGGCTGCTCTCAGTGAAAGACACTTCTTGGGTCCTGTATTTACCTTGTGAGCTTCAGGGGGTGCTTTCTTGTGTTAGTTCAGACTTGGGTATTTAAAAGGTGCAAAGCTGTGTACAAAACTCACTGTAGCTGAAATGCAACTCGCTGTTTCCAGGAGATACACAAGAAAGTGATGTCACTGCAGTTCAGCGAGTGCCACACCAAGATCCGCCACGTGGACGCTCATGCCACCCTGAGCGATGGGGTGGTTGTGCAGGTCATGGGAGAGCTCTCCAACAATGGGCAGCCCATGAGGAAGTTCATGCAGACTTTTGTGCTCGCTCCAGAAGTAAGTATATGTAAGGCGATGCAAAACTTCGTATCGTGATGGTGGAAACTTGACCTGTAGCTACAATTGGTCATGTTGGGACAAAAAATATGATTGGATTAAAAACCTGGTCTGGACGCTATCATTCAGTGTGTCACAGTGTGTGAGAGCAGAGAAACCAGTGTATTGGACCCATCCTGAGCTGTTTGATTTTCTTAGACTTGAATATTGGAGCAGTAATACAAAGCAATTTGGAGCTTCCGTTTGGGAGCTGCCACTGGCACAGGTAAATAAAAAAAAGTGTTCAGCTCTGCAGATCAAATCTCTGGTGTAGTTGTGAGCTTTCAAGTGCACTGGCAAATGTGAGTATGGGTTGATGCTCTTAGCGAGAGCAGAACTATGTAAGGGTAAAGGATGTCTTGTGTTCTGTATCCTTCTTTCCCCCCACTTGATCACACGCTGTGTTTTTTAGGCTCTTGTTGAATTTCCTTGTTGTTTCCCTGTGCAGTGCTTTAAGTGCACAGTCACCTCATGAAAGTTTGTGCTGGTTTTATTGTGAAGTTGTTGTAGTAGGGAAAATTGAAATTCCTGGATGCAACTGAGGGGCTCTATGTTTAGTTAGAACCTATGGTTGTGGTGACTTATCAGAATCAGCAGGGTTTTTTTCTGCCTGAAACTTCCAGTTGGACAGAAGTTACAGTTCAATTGCTAGCTTAGAGAAGAGGCACCACTTGGAAAATAGTGAAATAGTCCTATTGCAAAATGTCAGCGTGTGCCCTAGAGCTTCTCTCTCTAATCCATCCTTCTTGTTGATGGCTGATATTCCATGTATGCGAAACACTGCGTGTTGCTCCTTTACAGGGATCTGTTCCAAACAAGTTCTATGTCCATAATGATATCTTCAGATACGAAGATGAAGTATTTGGAGATTCAGATGGAGAACTTGAGGAAGGTGAGAACAACTTTATGTGCAGAGTGTGTCTGGTTCTTGTTCTTCTAGCATGTGTGCAGAGCTGTCAGCTAGAGGAAATAGGAAAGTGCAAACTATTGTCTTCTCATGAAGCATAGAGTGGGAAATCAGTTATGTTGCTGGAATTCTCTGTTGGCCTAAAACACTCTGTAAAATGAAGGTCCTATAGTAGTACCTTATGCCCTGAAGGGCTGAAGTGGCTTATGGTACCTTATTTTGTTGCTGAAGCTTTATTCTGATTACTGCAAGTTTGAGTACTTTGATTTTTGATGATTACAAGATGCTTTTATTTTAAGTGCAGCTTGTGCACACTTCCAGAGATGTTTAATGAAGTTTTTGGTTTTGTTTCAGAGTCTGAGGAGGAGGTGGAAGAAGAGCAGGAGGAAAGACAACCATCACCTGAACCTGTGCAAGAGAATGCAAGCAGTACTTACTATGAAAACCATCCTGTAACGTAAGAAGTCCTTTCTATTACATGAAGTTTCTTTTTTCATAAAAATTGCTTTGGCTTTGGATTCTGGGTGTGATTTAGCAGGTAGTTTAGGAAAATACACTTGATGGGGATCTGTGTTACATTATCATGACATTATTTTGAAGCGTTGCTTCTTTTTTAGAGAGTGGAAATGGGGGATGTTTTATGTTTGTTAGTTGTTTCAGCTTCTAATTTCAAAAGTGAGGTGAAAAGGTAGCAACCATGTGTATGTACACACTCAGGGGATCTTTGTTATTCAGACTTGGAACAGTGAGTTGATATGATGTGGTTTATGTGCACAGGTAGGTTAACAAAGGGCTGGTTAATCATGGAATCACAGAATAGTCTGAGTGGAAAGGGACCTGTTAAAGGTCATCTGGTCCAACCCCCTTGCACTAAGAACAGGCATCTTGGTATGCATTTGATAGCATTTGAAACTGAGAGGGAGGTCTGCTTTTTGAGAAGCTGTTGTACAGCTGTATTGGAAGAACAGGTCTCTGTCCTGAGTGTCTTCAAATCTAAACACGATTAAAGAAAAAAACCTTTATGTTTTTCTAAGGAGAATACATTTTATCACAAAACCCAACCAAACAAATGACCCCCACAAACACAAAGAAACAAACAACACCAAAACCATGTGCTTTATTTTGAAGCCTTTGAAAGGGCCGGAGCTGACTTCCTGAATCCCATGTTAAATGGCCATTTAAGACATCACTAGAGGCTGTGTGCTGAGTGCATCAGTGGTAATGCTGAACATGGGTCACTTAATGCTTTCATGGGAAATCTGATGGGAGAGAGGAGTCTGCTGGAATTCTGGCAGTGGCTTGCTTGAGATACTACAGAAAGTTTTGGATGCCTAAAAGCCCTAAGTCAGGTCTCATTTTGGGGTTCCTGTGCCAGTTGGAAAAAAGTTGTAAAGGCAACGTTCATCAGAGTCACTTAGGCATATGCTGTCCTGTGGCAGGAGCTATGCAGGCAACAAGTATTTGGAGGTTGGCCAGCTTTTAGCGTGGCTGGATAGAGAAGACAAGACATTCAGATCCCTCACCTTTCGACACATAGAGTACAGGTGAAATTGTGTGTGATTTTCAGTAAACCAGACTCACAACTCCTTTGGTCAGGAACTTGTCTGCCATTTGTGTAAATGAGCTGTGGGTTTTGTTCCAAAATTGGGTTTGTTGGTGTGTATAGCTTAGTTGTCCATTGGTTTCTCACTGTGATTCTAGTCTTCTGGAAGCAGCAGAGGTTGATTTTGGCACCTCTTCTTAAGGGGTTTATATGTCTGTGAGATTCTCGGGTTCTCTGCAGAGAGCTGTGGAACGCATCTTTGCTTCAGCA